GTGCAGAAACCACTGCCCATCCTTTCCCTTCCTCTCTGCTTCCAACAATGGTTGTCAGCTGCAGCAGTGGTTGAATAAACTCGTGTAAAAGTTGAGGGCACCAGGGAGAAGCAAGGGTTGCATTAGCACATTATGCTGTATTTCCTTGCTCTAGATTGTTTGTGCTTCCTCAAATCCCTGACCAATTTCCAAATATTTGCATTCAAAAATATGTGAAGTATTTAGACAATATGCTGTAATTCAGCAAGCATATAAAGTATGCACCTCACTTTTGGCAAGTAAGTATGCTTTAAGTGGCCTGGTTTGTTTATATTTTAAAGTTCTCTACAACTTGAGTACTTGCTGAACACATGGATCACAAAAAAGTTCCAAAATGGATGTAAATCTTATGCATTGTGCAGAGCTCCCATATGAAGCTAAGTCTCTGGGAAAATAGACTTTTATGGTCAAGAATTATGTGCAGTGCTGATTTGCAAGTCTCATAATGTGCAGAGCTCCCATATGAAGCTAAGTCTCAGTGGAAAAATAGACTTTTATGGTCAAGAATTATTATGTGCAGTGCTGATTTGCAAGTCTCATAATGAATTTTAGTATATTTATACAAATATATGGTGACTGTGTGTACTGCTGGGATCTTTTGGGTGCCTATCAGAACTGCCTTGGTAGCAGCACTATGTATTTACAAATAATTCATAGGTAAAGGTGTATAATGATTCCTAATTTCAACAAAATCAGCCTTTTCTGACCATATTAATTGAAAATAGCAATTTTTTTTTCTGGACTTGACACCTAATTTTCACCTTAGACCAGACATGCTACTGTCTTTGTTTTTTTTTCTTTTATGAAACTCTGATTAGATAATTCTGAGATTTGAAAAAGAGCTGGGGCCCAAAATGTCCCATGGAAACAGATCACTGATATTCTGGGTGGGTAAGCAGTTATTTAAAAATCATACTGCTACATGTTTAGATTTATATGTAAGAAAACCATAAGGTTATGTTAATTTTACATACCTTGTTCACCAACTGAAATAGCATGTGCTAAAACCAATCAGGAAACAATAAACTGTTTTCAAACAATGTCCTTTAAGTGGTGCTTTCAGTGTGTGCCATCAGGAGCCTA